ACAGTAGGTGGGGTAGTTGCTCTGTGAATGGAGTGCGTGGCAGGGCTGGGGGAAGGGGGAGAGGAGGAGGGGAGAGAAGGAGGAGGAGGAAAAAAGGGAGGGGGAAGAAGAGGCAGCAGGGGCCACAACCTGTCAAAGAGACACAGGAGCCAACGTGAAAGAGCTCCCAATGGCTAAAGCTGGAAAAATTTGAATAACGATAAATATTGAATTAAACTCAAAGAATAAATATGCACAATCCCATAATTATATAAATAAATGATTGAATGAGTGAATAAATAGAAGAACTCTTCTTTACAGAAGAATTCTAAATAGTATATGTAGATATTCCCCCTCCAGGAGGTAGAACTTAATTCCCCTTACCTTAAACATGGGCTGGACTTGGTGACTCACTTCCACAGAATGAAGTATGGAAAAGGAAAAACAGTAACCTTACAATGAAGAAACTCAGCAGACATCACCTTGACCACTATCACAAGTGGAAAGTCATGTTGAAATCGTGCCTCCCCTGATAGGAAGTGCTGAGGACACCCCAACTCTGTGGTTTTCTCCCCAAACTACACCAGTCTAGTCATAAGAAAACTTCAGACCAAGCCAGGATGAGAAGGATTCTACAAAATACCTGACCGGTACTCTTCTAAAGTGTCAAAGTTATGAAAGACAGACTGAGAAAACATCACAGATTGGAGGAGTTGAAGGAAACTAAGGAAAGATGATGACGAAATGCAACGTGAGATCCTGGAGTGGATCCTGGAATAGGAAAAGCAAACAAACAAAAACATTTGTGACAAATGGTGAAATCCAAATATAGTCTGTATTTCAGTGAATAGTGTTATACCTAAGTTATGTCTTAGATTAGACAAATGTACCGGTTATGTAAAATGTTAACATTAGAAGAAACTCGGTGGAAGGTGTGTGGGAACTCACTGTTCTATCTTTGCAAATTTTCACTAAATCAAAAATTATTCCAAAATACAAAGTTTATTAAAAAGAAAACTGCAAAACAGATTCTTATTGAAGAAACTGGACATCCAAATGATGGTATATTTTTAGCTAATTAAAATCCTGTTTGGGGAAAAACAACATATGAGATTGAAAAAAAACTATAGTGTTTAGTAACAAAACTATATAGAGTATGATCCTTCTGTGTATCTATGTACATACATATACATTACATATATACAAATTAAAATAATCAGAAATGTAAGTTATCAGTGGTTATTTCATGAAAATAGAATTATGTCCTTTTAATTTTCTTCCTTAAACCTTCCTATTGTTCTCAATTTTCTATATGAAAATGAAACATTTATGAGAAAACAAGAAATCAAAAGTAATTCCTAAGTACTTATTTGTTTACGTTGTGGTGCTATATTCAAATACATTTTTAATTTTTTCAAATAAATAGCATAAGTTACATTTCTAATTATATACATTTTTACTTTATGTAAGTGCCTTGCTGCACGAAAGTCAATAAAACATACTAATTTGCTAAAACCTACAATTTCCCCACATTATAAATAGATTGCCCAAAGCTCAAGCTATTATTATACATTTTGAACCACAATTAAATGAAATGACATTCTCCTTTCTCTTTCCCTTCCTCCTCTCTCTAA